ACCGGGGGGGGGGGGGGGAACCACACTCCCTTCCACAAAGGGAGTGTGGTTAACCCCTTAACTGGGAACTTTTGAAGGCATATGTGCGGTGATTCCATTGAGAGATGGCAGGTGCCAGACCGCACATATGCGGCGAGTCCATTTAAGGGGTTAAAGGGAGATTAAATTGCTCGAAGTCTGGGCTCTCGAAGATGTCTACCGGATAACCAGATAATAACCAGATAACCGGATAATAAACCGGATTGGATGACAATGGCCCCCAAAGCTAAGCACGAAAATAATTTTATTTATTCTTCCCAACTCGCTCTTGTACCATGCAGCGAATTTAAACTGAAACAGGGATGTTAAGACCTAACACTAGCCAAGTTAAACACGAAAACGCTTTCTTGTGGTTTAATGCTCATCGATTTAAATTTTTATTTGGCAGCGAAAACGACATTTAATCGAGGTTCGGGACAAATCATCTCGAGGGGGGAAAAAGCCCTGCAACAGGAGTCTCTTCGGTCTTTTTCCACGGATCATACGAGACTTGCCGATCGAAAGGCATTCTGGCGTGTGTGGGTCGATCGAAAAGCATTCGTGTGTGAGTGGGTCGATGGAAATGGATTCAGGTGTGTGTGGGTCTGTGTGTGGGTCTCGTCACGAAGGAGGCAAGAAGGAGAGTGAAGGAGGCGGAAGAGGTGAAAGAACCGGAACCCGGGGAGGAACCTGTAGATGACTGGAAGCTTAAAAAAAAATCCCATTCGGTTCTTGACCGCTTTACTGTCACGCGCGAGAATTCTCGTGTGAATACTGCCGTGCCTCTCGTGACACGCCCAGGAACTCTTTCGGTTCTTATTTCATTTTTGTCTCAAAAACCAAATGAGTAAGCAAGAGTGAGATGGAACATTTCCTCGCGCGTCGCCACTTCCACAGTGATTTAGCGAAAATAAAAATGGGCATAACATGTACAATTTCGTTTCCGAAACTTGAAAGTTAACGAGTTGATGAGGCCGCTATTCATGGAATATGGACGGAGTCATATATGGTTTCGGGGTCATAGAAGTTTCAGAAGTTTCAGAGCGAACGAGTCTCGAATCTTTCAGTGATACGGAAGAACTGATCGTCGAGACCGACAATCGTCCACGAGAATGTTGCAATTTCATATAATATTGCTTTGCACAGGTTGGGGTGAAATTGGCTCGAGACTTTAGGTTCGATCCCGCGTCGTCGTCTGCGTCTGTTCTGCCTTCCGACGGGGGACTGAAATAGAAGTTGGCAAGCCGACAAGGATCGTGCTGGAGTTCTCGTGCCGCGTCAGTCTTTCACGGCGTCTCGACATGATGTCCACGGCGAATCCCTCTCCCAAGATCGGGAAACCCAAGACAAATCGAAAGTTTTACCATCCAAGTGAGTCGAAATCTCGCGACCGTCTTCGCGTCCGGTGAGCAGAATTACGTTTTATCGACGGGTCGAGACTTGCACCCGTTCTGGATCACTTTTCATACTATTTAGGTGCAGAGGTGCAGCAGCCGTTAGTTGGCATTCATCTCGTCGTTATCACTTTCTCCAGGCGCTAATCTGTTTTCATTTTTACGCGGTGCTCCAGCGGAAAGGTGACTGTCATTAAGTCTATATCGAGCGAGATGGTGCTTCCTAGTAAGAAAGTTGGCTGTTCTAGCCAAGTCAGATAGTTTGGGTGAAAATCACACCTTTCTAAAGTATGTGTTAGAAAGTTCGGCCTTTTTGTTTATATTTTCCTTACGTTCCATCTGCCACTGGAATTCCCAATTTTTGTCTGTTGCTATCGATGCCTTCCTAAAATTCTAAAAATTCTAAAATTCATTTATAAATTTGAGCTATCATTTACGCTCAAGTTGCTGTAACTCCACAAAGAGTCAACGAATCGGCAAGTGATTACTACTTTCTGAAAGCTCTGAATTCGCGTCTTCCACGATTCTTTTTCTGAACCTCGCGACTTTTTGCATGTTTTTTTTGCGATGTACCATGTTTGCAATCCTTTGGGTTTAAGAATGATGAAAAATGTAATCGGATAAAGGAGCATCGGAGACAGATCATCTGTCGAATGCCTTCTTGTTATTCCTCACATTGTCCCAAAGCAAATCGGAAAGAGAAAGCAAGAAGATTCCAAGTCCTCTTTGGACGGTGAAGTGTGAGAGACAAATTTCGAGGAAATACAATACTTGCAAATAGGTTCCTCTGAAGGAAAATCGGTGTCCAGGGGTGGAAGAGCATTCAAAAGTTGTGGGGAGGTGAATGACGATCACATTGAAAAGTTGCGGGGAGATGAATGATGAGGACATTTCCTACCCGCATTCAATTCTTGCTTCCGAATTCCCGGTTTGAACCATATTTAATGAGCACATAATTGAGGTGTTTCCGGAATAGCATCCATCCGAAGGGAGTTTCCGAGATCCTCTCGTTTTTGTCTACGAGCTCTTCCAGCTTTAGCAGAGTTCACAAGTATATCTCGGCCGAGATCCATTTTCAAAAGAAAAAATCCTTTCGAAAATGATACTCGAAAAACAAGAGTCTGGCGTCGTGTTATGAAATAGATGCGGATGCTGCGAAGAAGGAATTCACCCTTCCGATGATGAAAAGCCGTTAATAAATTTGGACATTCTCTAACTCTTGTATCTTTCAACCCAGATTTTCTAAATATGATGAATTTGTTAAAATTCCTATCATGGTAATTTTATGTAGAGGAATGTTCCCCTGTCCTCGTGAAATTACAAGTGAGCCCATAACCCTTCACGAAGTAGTCGCGAGTTCACACGAGATCAATGCAGAACGGGGATGGATTGCTTCGTCGTCCAAGAAGTCGAGACACGAGAAGGAATGAGTTTCTTTCTTCACTCTTCATTCGGTGCAGCTCAGGACGAAGACGAAGATCTGTTGACGAGATGGCAGCCACAGGACCTGAAAGCTTTGGGGCTGAGAACGAAGTTCACCGAGCGAGAACTGAAAAAGCTCTACCGCGGTTTCAAGAACGAGTGTCCGTCTGGCATATTGAAAGAGGATCGCTTCAGGCAAATCTATGCTCAATTCTTTCCTGCATCCGGTGAGTGGCTATTCGCTCGTTTCTTCGCGAAATGCACACTCGTCTCGGGCATCGAGACGCGGCGAAGCGAAGCGAACTTTAAAAAAGATTGCACTCGTCGATTTCACGCCATCCGTTGGTTACAATTTGAAGCGATTTTCACCAGATGGCTCTTTTCAGCTAGCTGGAAACTTTGACCACGGACTGACGTGAAGCATGGCGCCTAAGAAGGGAAGTCTTTCGGTTTCTTTCAAAACGTCTCCAGGGTTCGCTTCTTCCGCGAAAAATTTCCCACAAATTCTCACTTGAGATTTCTCATCCCTCGAGGGCCATATGGATCGCGTCAGTCCATCTTTTCCTTCTGGAGTGCGTGAAGAAATGGGGGTAGAGTACGAACAGCTGCGAAGTCGTTTCGAGATACATCAAAATCAATCTTCTTCTCATCCGCGATGGATGAAAATTTTTATCGCGCGCAAAGTATCGAAACGATTTGCTACATGTAGCGAAGTGTTCGACATGTATGATGTGATTCGTCTCGAAGTTCGAGTCCACGGCAGTGACGGCAAATCGCAAAACGATGAGCATTCTCAACGATCGTGAAGATAATTTCGTGATCGTGGCAGCCATAATCGAGTGATTGCTTCATTTTAGGGTTAATGACCTGAAGAAAAGCTCCAAGAAAGCGAGCCTACTGCGAATGTCATTTCCACATTCGGCAATCGAAGGAGAGGCTGCAAAGCTCAATCTCGGACAAATATCACGAGCAGACCCATAAAAGTTCTATAAAAGGAGATAGAAAAGAAGGCCTCCGGGCGAAAGACAATTCATTGGTTGCACTTCTTTCCCCGGTCTAAAATGATGTCAGCATCAATGTCCTTAGTTGGGTGCGCAAAAAAATGCTGCCTTTGGAGAAAAAAGAGTGATGATGGCGTTCTTAAAGAGGTTCATTATGATTTTTTAAATTGTAAGCTAGGTACGAGAGGATCAGAGATGGCAGAAAATGATTCGGGTAAGGAATATAGAGACTAAAGTGAAGAATGGATCTGGACCCTGAACCATCCAGCTGCCCAGACCATCTCACCGGATCTCTAAAATCCACTCCCTCATATTCCCATGTAACGTACCTCGATCTTCATTAGAAAAGAAACGCTGCAAGGACAGGTTTCTTCACAAGGAATTCATGATTTTCTTGGAACGTTTTTTTTTTCCCATCGTCGAGCCTGTGCTGATATCCTCTTCTTTCCCTTGCATTTCCTGCCGATGAAGCTAGAACGAGAAAGTACGCTGAACTCATCTTCAAGACCTTGGATGTTGCAGGAACGGGAATCGTCACCTTTGAGGTCAGTTCATCTATCAAACGAGAACATTGGTTTAAGATAATAAAAAAAAGTGGCTCCAGAGATTCGACAGTCGGAAGTCCCAGACGTGCATGTTTGTAGCATGTAGTAGGATCCCGTTGTAGAATTAAACTGATAGCCTTTCGCGAAGGGATCTAAATTTACAGTTTTTATTATTTCGGCAAGGAACCGATTCCGTTCTCAATTATCCTACAACCGGAGAAACCGTTTTAACACTTTCAAACGAGACTGAAATGATGGGGAAAGGGTTCATTAGCTGTTCAGCATGCAATTTAGGCAATGAGCAGCATTCAATTTCAATGTGTTTATGTTTCTTCGGGTTCTTGATGAAGGAAGCCGTCAATAACAGGAATGAAGTGTCGTAACTGGGAATTGAAGGAGGAGAGAGAGAGAGGAAATGCGGAGATATGTTGGAACAATTGAGACATTTGAAATCTTGAAAAGTATCGTGTGGGCCAGCAGCAAACTATTTTCAAGGGACCTACGCCTCATAGGTCGACACTGAATTTGGCCTCCTATTCCTTGAATGTAGTGGTCACAAATGTTACTCCTCTGTCTCGGAAAAGCGAAATTACGATCAGAGAGAATACGTTTTCGATTGCTCCGGTTTTGTCAGAGTGCTAAAAGAGACTTCCACGGAGGCGCTGGAGGACACTATCTGGGGTGCATGGGCTACATCGACAGAATCGGTGCACACGCACACCATGAGATGCTCCGTCCTAATGGAATACAGGGCACTCTTGAGCCCTGGACTGCACCAACGCAAAAGTGGAGTCCGCCGGGTCGAAGTTCTTGTACTTTAGTTGCCCGAGTGCCGCATTTAAAAGGGACTAGCGAAAATGGTGAGAAGTGGTAGTGCGCGACTGAGCTGGCTGAAGCGTCCAACATTACCTCTCCCCTTCCCCCCCCCCCCCCCCCCCCCCCCCCCCCCCCCCACCCCCTTCCCCCCCCCCCCCCCCCCCCCCCCCCCCCCCCCCCCCCCACTTCCCTTCCCCACCACAACATGCAGCAGTTGACACTCTCATGGCTTCACCCTATTTGAATTCATTATCCTTGCAGGACTTCGCAGTCACATTTTCTTTCCTGACGCGTGGCACGTTGGAGGAAAAGTTGCGTTGGATATACAAACTCTACGATCAAAACCACGATGGGAAAATCACCGAAGAAGATATCCATGAAGTTGCAGTTGCAGTCTCGAATTTGTTAGGAGGCAGCACCACCGTCCCCCATTCTATTCAACGCCGAGTCCAGGAACTTTGGACCGTATGTTCCATCTTTGTTGCTCAACTTCAACTTGTTGCATTCGAATGTCGTTAAGATGCTGGCACATGAACATAATTTTTTGCATTTGAAATGCGATCCAGTCGTATTTCTGGCAGCGCTGTATTGTGATTGACGAGAACGTTGTCTGAGAGTGGCCTCCAGGATGCAAAACCCCGACACCGAAAAATATTCTCTTTTCAGTATTTATGACATCCTGTGAATGAAGTTTCCGTAGGCTTGTGTTTGGACTGACAATGTCATACAGGGCCAAGGGGGAAACTTTCTCACTGTTGCGAGCAGTGACCTTTAAAGATCTGTTTCTGAGAGTGGTTTTATTTTTCTTCAACCATTAAGGCTTTTTTTTTTACAGAGGTATTCCCAGAAAACTCTTGATTTCGTTGGGCGATTTCTTGACTAGTGTCAAGATTGTGTGAGACAGATCCGAGAATTCTTCCACTTCCTAGGCTCACTTGGATGCTTTTGCTTCCTGTTACCCATATTGAAAGAGAGAAAAGAAGCACTGCTAATATAGAAAAAAATAGGTACAATACCTTCATAGGTCCTCCGTAGGTCCTTCATAGGTCGTACGATTTCGTAAGTCTAGCATACCTTAGATGTCGCTTCTTTCTGCATGGATCAAATGGGGTAAATGTGAACTCGAACTCGAACGTGTGATTTCCTTGAATTCTGCAGGCGATGAACGGAGGAAGTCGAGGATATGCAACGTGGGAAGATTTCTTTTCTGCATGCAAGAAGAGCGATATCATCAGCAAGAGTGTGGCGGCGTTGTCCATTCATCACGTGTGTTAAGTAGTCTGTCTTCTGGATTATTTCAAATACTACTTCAGTTAAAGTACAACATGCAGATGGACATGTATTTGAAATACGTGCAATGCAAAATACATGGGCTCATTTCTACTTCAAATACAAATATTGACGATGTACTTTTACAGATGCGTCTTTCCACTTTCCATGCAGATTCATGTTTTCGCTTGACGGCAAATGAAGGCTGCAGTTCAAAATCATGAGTCTCCCCCCCCCCCCCCCCCCCCCCCCCCCCCCCCCCCCCCCCCCCCC